AATCGGGTTCATGCACGATCCACTCTATCTACAGTGTTGTTGCAAAGGATGAGGGTCCGCGATGAAAATCATGATCTGAACTGCAAAGCAGGAATGGTAGGGTCGGGCAACAGACCGTGTTCTTGGAAGATGGGAAGCCAGAAACAGAAACAGAAGCCACCACAAATGCAGGGTGTACTACATAGGTACAACCACCTCGTTTCATCCAGCTTCCAAGTTTAGACATGCATGATGTATCCCATGTCTCTCCTTCGGAGCCTTGTCGATATGTTGTACAAGCCAAGAGAAAGAGGGGTCTTGTCCAGGTTTGATCGGCTGCTGCGGCTAGGGCCGGAGAGCGGGTTTAGCCTGAGGTTTGGACCGGAGGACCTAGACCATGCTTCTCTCTTTCTTCCCCTCCCCCCTTTTCCCCTTTGAATTTGGCTTGGACTAAAATGAATCAACACCGATCGTCATTTGCTATCGTCCTGCAAAGTCTTACTCTACGCCACTTCCGGGGTAGAGTGACACGATATCAAGATGGATTGTATACTCTGTACAAGTGTTGGCCAATCGTGGTCTTGGTGAGACGGAATTCAATGTCTGGAAGTTCCCCCTGCGTTGACAAAATCCCATATGGCTCATGACTGTTAGTCTCCTGTCGCTTGTTAGCGTTGGTGTGGATCATCTAGAATGCTTCAAGTTTTTGTAGTGCGATTGGGACCGTCGGCATTTCGATGATGCGGATAGCCGAGGCTGGGGGGGGGGAAGGGGAAGGTGTGGATTATTTATTGAGTATGCCCTGGTGGGATAGTACTGCCTTGAGAATATCATGTAGCCAATCTGCTAGTCTTGGGAATATGCTCTCTGCAAATCGACAAGTCTTTTGACGCCTTCCTGTTCAAGGTGAAGAAGACTCGGTAGTAGGATGAGCCTTGCGCCTGAGCAACGGGTGCTCGGAAGAATGCGAGAAAGGGCATACATGCCACAAGCCATGCACGCTCGTCTTCTTTTCATCTGCAAAAATGAAGATATGGTTTCCATGACTACACCATCCCTTCCACGTGTAAGTTCTTCTGCTCCTTCATCCTATGTTCTACCTTCCGCATCCCAAAGATCACAGTTTCAGTTACGTTCGGAAAGATCGTCTGTGCTACCAGCTAAAGAGCTTGGACTATTGCTCTCGTTCATCCAAGAGAAAGGCATACCCCTTTCCGCGATCTAGGCAAGAGGAGCTACAGATAGCTACTCCACACATATGCAGTGCTGATGTCGTACAACATGCAACACATCTGCTCGCATATACGCTCCCTTCCCTAAACCGTTCCTGATCGACACAACAGCACCCGAAACTAAATTGTGGGTATGGAATCGTGATTCCCACCGTGGCCTTTCAGATGAACTGAAATTAAATCGGAGCTATCGGCAACGTGACTCTATCTTTCTAACCCTTCGCGGTTCCCAGGATTGACAGGGGAGTATGCCGAAGTTGATCCGGGTTACTTAGAGGACCTCCCTTGAAACTCTCTGGATTTACATATTTCGACGACTTCCGAGGGAAAATAGGGAGGGAACCCCCCAAAAAAGAACAAAATCGGTCCGGAGCACAAGGCGTGAAAGTCGGCGTAAATGCGCACTTTTCCTTTTCCCCACCAACCCCCTCCCGCATTCCGGAGTAGAGGCTCTTTGCTGCCAATCGGGTCAAGGTCAAACGGTGACCCTTCCAGGTCTCCTTTGTTTATCGGTGAACCTCCCTTTTAACCTTAGGTGGTGGATCGAACGATCTTCTGGAAGGTTCAGCAAGGAGAAAGTGGTCAAGTCACGTCACAGATGAGGCTGACGGTGTTGTACATGTTAGTTGCCTGATTCCGTACATAAAGCAAGAGGGATCATGGGTATCTCGAAGCATTCCACCGTGAATCTCACCTCAGATCCCGTAGTTGCTTTAATTGGTGGAGGTGCTAGTGATTTTTGATTCGCTTGGGAGGAGATTACCCGCTCTAGGTCTGGGCAGAGAGAGTCATGATAATGGCGCAACTAGTATCAAAGGATGTTCTGCAACTTGGGTTCGCTACACATGCTCCGTCCCTCACGTGGAATTGCGATGATTCTCGATGTCTCAAACTACATTTAATTAACGCTCGGGAGTAGCCGAAGAGGAGGGGGGGGGGGAAGGAGACATCGGCTATGTCCGAGGCCTTGCGCCAAGATTGTCTCTTCGACGTATGTTGCATGTTGTATGTTGTAGCAAATGTACCCCTTTACACTACGGCGTCCACGAGTACAATCTAGAATGAAATGAGTTACGCCCACGTGGAAAAATGCAGCAAGACGCCAGGAATGCATTGGAAGCGCGAGTGTACTTTGTACATTATCCACATCCGGTTAGTTCAAGTCTAGTCGGCTATATGATTATCCCACTGGATCGTGATCTTGTCTACGGAGTACTCCGTACTCGGTTTTCGTCTTCATCTTTGCCCAAGTTCTTTCCACAGC